CACGTAAAATTCATTTTACATACATTAAAAAATTAGTTAATGTCCAACAAAAAAAGCTGGGAATTGAAATAAAATGGTTACAGATAAGTGAAAGAGACAAATAAATTTTTATTTACTGTACGCCAAGTTTAAATAATTTTTTATAAGAATGTAAAGAAGAATTAAAAGATATCTATTATTAATGTATGACTCCTTCCTAATTTTACAAACAGAGTAAATGTGAACCTTTTTTGAGTTTTGTGAATTATCTGTTTTAAACTGTTGCTAATTGGAAATTCTGAGAGTACTACTTATCTGAAGAGCACCAGATTAAGAGGGCTGTTTTAGAAAACAATACTACATCTCTTGTTGATAAACTAAAAATATAAAAAGTAAAGTTTTGTATGCTGAATAGTTTATAACAGTTTATATAATAATACTAACTTGATAGCAGTAGAGAAGACAAAAAATCTATTGATATGCTTATACTTGATTTCTTTGGTTTCTTCTAAATTAGGTCAGGAATGGTGGAAAATAAAAACAATGGTTTGTGAAGAGGGTGCTTAGACTAAATCCAAGGAACAAATTCTTCCTTCCCAGTTAATTAGTCGTTTGGTTACAATGCAATAGCTTTATACTACACTGCTCAAAAAAATAAAGGGAACACAAAAATAAGACATCCTAGATCTGAATGAATGAAATATTCTTATTAAATACTTTGTTCATTACATAGTTGAATGTGCTGACAACAAAATCACACAAAAATTATCAATGGAAATCAAATTTAGCAACCCATGGAAGTCTGGATTTGGAGTTACACTCAAAATTAAAGTAGAAAAAAAACACTACAGGCTGATCCAACTTTGATGTAATGTCCTTAAAACAAGTCAAAATGAGGCTCAGTGTGTTTGTGGCCTCCACGTGCCTGTATGACCTCCCTACAACGCCTGGGCATGCTTCTGATGAGGTGGTGGTTGGTCTCCTGAGGGATCTCCTCCCACACCTGGACTAAAGCATCCCCCAACTCCTGGACAGTCTGGTGCAATGTGGCGTTGGTGGATGGAGCGAGACATGATATCCCAGATATGCTCAATTGGATTTAGATCTGGGGAACGGGCGGGCCAGTCCATAGCATCAATGCCTTCGTCTTGCAGGAACTGCTGACACACTCCAGCCACATGAGGTCTAGCATTGTCTTGCATTAGGAGGAAGCCAGGGCCAACCTCACCAGCATATGGTCTCACAAGGGTCTGAGGATCTCATCTCGGTACCTAATGGCAGTCAGGCTACCTCTGGTGAGCACATGGAGGGCTGTGCGGCCCCCTAAAGAAATGCCACCCCACAGCATTACTGACCCACTGCCAAACCAGTCATGCTAGAGGATGTGGCAGGCAGCAGAACATTCTCCACGGCGTTTCCAGACCCTGTCACGTCTGTCACATGTGCTCAGTGTGAACCTGCTTTCATCTGTGAAGAGCACAGGGTGCCAATGGCGAATTTGCCAATCTTGGTGTTCTCTGGCAAATGCCAAATGTCCTGCATGGTGTTGGGCTGTAAGTACAAGCCCCACCTGTGGACATCAGGCCTTCATACCACCCTCATGGAGTCTGTTTCTGACCGTTTGAGCAGCCACATGCACATTTGTAGCCCACTGGAGGTCATTTTGCAGGGCTCTGGCAGTGCTCCTCCTGTCCCTCCTTGCACAAAGGTAGAGGTGGCGGTCCTGAAGATGGGTTGTTGCCCTCCTACGGCCTCCTCCACGTCTCCTGATGTACTGGCCTGTCTCCTGGTAGCGCCTCCATGCTCTGGACACTACTCTGACAGACATAGCAAACCTTGCCACAGCTTGCATTGATGTGCCATCCTGGATGAGCTGCACTACCTGAGCCACTTGTGTGGGTGTAGACTCTGTCTCATGCTATCACTAGAGTGAAAGCACTGCTAGCATTCAAAAATGACCAAACCATCAGCCAGAAAGCATAGGAACTGAGAAGTGGTCTGTGTTCACCACCTGCAGAACCACTTCTTTATTGGGGGTGTCTTGCGAACTGCTAAATGACATGCTAAATGTCCCATTTGTCAGGGAACTACATTGGACCTTCTATTCCATGGTGCCTACCTTATAGAATATTATTCTTCCTTGCCCCAAAATGAGGTGGTTTCCATCCCTACTTATTTCCCAGAAGTCCCTCAGAACCTGGCTAAGTCATCTTAGAGACTTAGAGATCTCAAGGGAGCAGTGAAATCTTTGAGTTGGCTCCCTTGTTGATTTAATCTCTTAGTATTTTATGCTCTTTTTTACTTTTAAATTTGTCTGCTTCTGTCATGTTTATTTATTTTTTGCTACACCATCCAGAGTTATTTTTAAAATGTGATTAATAAGTAATAATTAAATAGAGTAGCTAATTAATTTAATTAATTAAATCACTAGAATTTGCATTCAGATACTCTCATTGTGAGTTCTGGCAATATAAAATATTTACTTGAATCAAGCTTGACTCCTGTTAATTTAATTTAATTTTATTTCCTTTCCTAAATTAGTTTTTCAGTCGTGTATTTTCCTGGTATTTGTCCATTCCCTGCTTAACTTTTCTGTTATTAGTGTCTTCTAAACGCTTTAGGCTAAAATATCTGTTCTTCTCAACCAGTATAATCTTGTATATTGAGTTGATAAGAGATAATCCAACATCCTGCAGAACGTTGGTGCAACATTTCAGTGTTTGTACATAATATTCCAGTACCGCTTTGTCAGTACAAAATTCATTTTTTGTGTGTGTGTTAAGAATACACCATCTTGAAAGAAAAGAAAAACTAAAATTTTTGTTAATCAAATTTGAGTAATAACTTGAGTATTGTCGAGGTGTTGTCCTCTTACCTTAGATATGCGAAATGGGATTTTTAAAAATTATAAGTATTATAATTGTTCATTAAGTTCCCATTTTTTAAAATCTCTAATGCTTGTTGTACTGCATAGCTGGAATTCTTTCCCAGTGAATATGTGAAATATAATAGCTCAGATTAACAATTAATGACACAGATGATGTACTTTGTTCTAAAAGGTGGGTGTCCAACAAGGAATCTTTCCGTTTTAGTGAAACATTTTTTAAACCCAGTTACAAAACATTCTTAATAGTTAAAAACAAGTGGGAACTTGTGGGGGAGAAAAAATGATATATATATTTTGCCCACACCTTTTGCAGTTGCAGCGTATATGTACATGACAAGCGGGGAAATGGAAAGCCTTTCTTTAGGTTAATTATTATAATAATAATAGAAATTATTCTAATAATACAGATTTGTTCATGCTTTATTTAGAAACTTATATCCACCCAATCTCATAATAGCCCTGAGCAGCTTATTAAAAACCACAAGATGTAATAGATATGGATTGTAATAAAAAGGAGTTTGTTTCAACTCTTGTTTCTGATGTTTTTAAAAGACGTTAAGTTTTTATTGGTTGACACTTAGAATTGTCTTCAAAATATGAATTGTTCTATTATGATTCACTGTTCTCTGTATTCTAAAACAATGTGCTACATACTCAAGTGGAGTTTTAACATTTACTAGACAACTTGTGGCCCATTGTGTCACATTTAGGAGATGTTTTCTTACCTAAACAAGCTGAATGATCATGGGTGGGATAAAAAAGTAGTGAGAGAAGAGGGACTTCCAACTTTTTTCCAACTTCCACACTGAGTTTTCTGTTAGAAAGCTGGCAGAGAGCCCTTTGTTTTTTCCTCCTTCCCTTCCACACTGTTCCTTCCCCTCCCTCCCTCATCTTCTAGAAATATTTTTTTACATTTTTTTATTACGCCTTTATTATTTTTATAAATAACAAGGTATGAGCTAATAATTTCTCTGTCCTATTTTTCCCACAATAAATTTGTGATATGAGTTGGGATGAGAGAGAATGACTGGCCCAAAGTCTCCCAGCCAGTTTACTAGACCAAAGTAGAACCTAGAACTCATAGTCTCCAGATTTGTATTTAACCAATAAATCAAACTGGCTCTTTTGGGGTCTCTCTATTGCTGAAGCAGAAAATAACTTAGGGGGGAAAAGACCTTACACTATTTAAATACTACATTTTTTTTTTGCTACATTTTTGTAAGTTACTGCTATCATTACAATAGCGTCTTCCTATTATGAAATGGAAAATCACTTATTGAAAAGTAATTAATATTTTTGGCTATTGCACAAATTGAATAGCTAACTGAGGTAGGAGATCTTTAAAGCCATGGGATTGAATAGATGTTGCAAAACTATAAATTATTATTGTTGTGTTTTTCATATTTTCTAAGAAATAGATCAGTAAATGTTCCTTTGAGAATGTATGGGAAAAAGGCCTCGTGGCCTTGCAGATAAGATGAAAAATATAAGGACATTTGTGCTCTTCTGTAATGTTGGCCATATTCCATTGCTCAACAGAGGAGATCCTAAAAATGACTTCAGTTGCTCAAGTGTAGAGATTGTCATGTTAACTGATTTAGATATTGGCCAGAGATTGCTTCCAAGAGAGTTAATAGCAAGCCTCTTGCATTTTTGAATCTGAAAGAATAACTGAATGCAGCTAATCATTTGATTAAGATGAGAAAGTATATTTATTATAATGGCATGTTGATGAAAAGAATTTTAATCTCCTATTGCTATTATGTTTGGGGCATGACAGTAAGAAGCAAGAGGGACAACCTATTTAAAATACCAGACTAATTAATACATTCAGGCAAATGTCACAGATATACTGTAGTTCTAAGGCTTGGAATTCACCGCACTGTTCAGCTGTTCGCACAGCCATGTGTAATAGTCATCTTGGTAGCTTCCACAACCCCAAGAAGCAAGCAAATGGGAGAGCAGGAGGGAAGAGGAAGAAGCAGAGAGGAGGAGGGAGAGCTTTTCGCTCCCCCCACCCCCCACCCCTTGGTCTTTTGCTACTTGGGCTTTTCCTGTGGCTTCTAATATGAGGACCTTCATCATTAAAGGGGGAAAGGTAAATTAATGACATGAATATTAAAAGGTTACTCACCCATTTTAACATTTGGTCACTAGCTGGGTAATGAAAAGGAACCCTGCCCTACCACGCCTCTTTCTTTAGTGGGGCCACACATGCTCTACTAAAGGATTGTGCATGATAGATCCTGCAAACAATGAGTCTGCGCGCAGCTCTTCCAGACCAACCGTGTCTTGCTGAATTACACCAATAGCAGGGTGGCCTACAGGCAAACAAAATAGTTAAACAATACATAATAAAGTTTTTATTTGGTATTTCCTGTGAGGCTGTGCCAGTTGCCAGGGAGTGTTCTCTATTTTCTTCCCCCTCCTTTGGTTGTATTAATTGTTGATCACAGCTGGCAAAGAACCAAAGAAGCAGCGACAGATAAGGAAAGGGGGAGAAGAGAAGGGGAATGGCAACGGGGGGGGGGGGGGGAGAACTCAAAAATTACAGCATATATCTGGAATTTTCCAGCTAATGATGTGCGGATGTGGTAGTGCTAGAGAAAAAGAGCCAAACTGAGCCTGCTTTGTTCAGTAAGAGAGAGGCCCCCTGTAACATTCCTTTTAGCTGTGTATATTTTGGCTCCAGTTATACAATGTTAACTATATGCAGAGTATGTAGAGGATCAGTATGTGTACATGTGTGTGTGTGTGTATGTGTGCGTTGATTTTGTTGTAATAAATAAAACGGTACAATGCATGCAAAATTGGGTAAAGTGATACTTGATGTTGCTTTTGCTGTTTTATCATTGCATAATATTACGGAAAAAAATGCAAAAAATGCAAGACTTCCCAGCCACAGCTGCCTTCAGGGGATTCCCAAATGAAATGAATGCTGCTCTTTTTTAAACTCATCAATGAAGCAAAATAATGTAGAGTTTGCTGATGTAATGAAAGATTGTGATGGTTATATGGTTGCTTGGGATATAAATAGGAAATACTATAATTGAGAAGCTCTGATACAGTTTTACTGTTTTGCCCATTCTTAATGCTTAAGCAATTGAGGCATTGTTATAGTATGTTTTATAGTATGCTGAGTGATTGTTAACACACATGTACATACAAGAACACAATCATGCACCCTGCAACAAACACAAAAATCGAGGCTAATAAGCATTTCTTAATGTGGAAGGACAGACTCATAAAGCATCACAGAAAAAAATCTGAAATACTGCATAGCTATTAAACTGCAAGTTTAGATGAAGAACAAAAGCAAAAATTTAATCTGGATTGGATTACCACTAAAATGGTGAAGATTTAACAAGCCCTTGTTTGAAGTACATGTAAGATTGCCAATTTCAATAGTGTCCAGGAATATATAGCTTCTAATAATAAGCTGACCCTAAGAGCAAAGGGATACATTAGATTAGTGTTTATGAAACTCAACAACTTTATGATATACGGACTTCAGCTTCCAGAATTCCCCAACAAGTGTGGGAGTTGAAGTTAAGACACCTTAAAGTTGCTAAGTTTGAGAAACGCTGTTCTTAACCAATGTTGATCGTAAAAAGAGGAATTAAAGATCATATCTTAGTGTACCAGTAGCTACTCAGCTGTGGAGAAAGTTTGAATGTTCCAGTTTTAATCCTTAATAGTTTCAGTAGATCTGCAAAGATTATGTTTGATTCATCAGAGCAGCCATTCTCATTTTTTAATACATTTTTTTATTTGACTTCTGGCAACTGTCTGAGCAAGTCCCTACTGTTTTCTTGGCAAGGGTTTTTGGACATGGTTTACCACTGCCTCCTTCCTAGTGCTGAGAAGAGGATCTGGCCCAGTGTCACCTAGCTGGCTTTCATGCCTAAAGTGGGACTAGATCTCACAGCCTTAAACACTACTCCAAACTGCTCTCTCTCGCTCTCTCTCTCTGTCTTTTTACCCTGTAGGAATCCTGGAATTAATTTTCAGATTTCTTTCAGAGAACTCATGTATACAAATTGCTAAAAATATATGAAAACTTTACAATGCAAACTTCCTTTCTAATTTACACAATCCATGTTTTACAGTTTTTACAGTAACAGCAAAACCAGCAGCTCAACTGCAATATATAAAAAATCCCATCACTACTAGTATTCACTTCACATAATGTGCAAAATTTGAAAACAATACTTTTTCAGTCAAAAATTCTCTTGGAATGTTAGAATTCTGCGAGACCTCATTTCAGAAAGACAACTTTGGAGAGTTGTTGCCATTCTCTAGGATAGGAGAGAGAAGAGAACCTGAAAAATAGGAAAAAAGATCATGTGAATTTAAGGAAAAATTCCTGCGACCCTCCCAAAGTTTGCAGTCAGATGTAATTTTCAATGAGACAGAAGTAGAAGCATTGTTTTAGATGTTTAAAACACCTGTATTTAAGTAGTTTAAATTAAACTACTTCATTTGATTTAAACTAAATCTAATAAAATGTATCAACTCTTCGGAATATCTTTCTGCTTATACTTCTAGAGACCAACTGTTGTCCATAATGGTGACATTGCCCTAATGTAAGTAATGCTGAATTTGATAGAACAGTTCAATTATAGTGATCAAAGGTAGAAATTAACATTTTGTTTGATTGACATAGTATTTGATTGATTCAGTAGAAATAGAGGTACCTAAGCACAGAGGTTCAACATATTAATTGGAGATGTAGATTTGCAAATGCTGAAATGTAAGCCTCGCTATATCTCATTTATCTATAATATTTCTGTGCTATCTTGATCAAAAACAAAATCAGTGTGACTAGCAAAAACATAGAATAGCTGTGAAATATAAGACATAGTTGAAATTTTGTAGAGAAAGCATGGTAGAAGAAGGAACCAGGCAGGTTGACAACAATTTCTGGTACAAGTGTATTTCATAAATGTAGTTTCAGCTGGCATAATCAAATAATGAACTATTTGTAAAAAGATAATGTGGCAGGTAGCTTTTAAGGCACAAGAATTTCCTTGGAGATGGCTAGAGCTGAGTGGAGGCCAAAGCAACATGTACAAATTAAATGGATGTGGAAGAACTTTCCTTTTGGAAAAGCCATGGAAAACGTGACAACTCTATTCTTGAATACACATTTTTTGAAATTTGGAAAAGACATAGAAAACGAACAAAATAAGTTCTCTGAAAAGAAGAGAAACTGAAAATGTTTGAAGTATAGCTAAGTCCCCTGTGCACTGAATATCTCTTGATGCCAGCCAGTCTGATTCTTTTGACAAGAATATACCAGGAGGAAAAAATCACAGCTCTCAACTCAAACAATGCTGATTGGATAGCCAGAAAATATATGTTTTCTTCCTATATGGACTGATTTTTTTTCACATGCAGACACAGTTTGCCACTTCATAGTCCTTGCACACTAGAGTCCATTGTTACAGCTGGGAGTTGTATATAGTACTTTGCAGCTGGGAGTTGTATATAGTACTTTGCTACTTTGCGGCATATCTAGTGAGATGCTGACATGTAGATAAATGAGCTTTTGGGGACAAGAGGAGTCTCTTTACAGTGACCCTGACAGAGGATTTGACAGTGTATTCTAAGCTAAGTGTTCCCTCAATCTCACAGGTTATGCCTGGAAAGGGACAACTAGGTTTCCAACGAAAGGTATTTCCTTCTTCAGTTTTTTGTGCCAATACTTTCCAAGGGGTTAACTGGAGAATTGTTTTCAAACTGAGGTAGAAGGTCACTGGCGGCAACAGCAAAGGCTTGCAGGGCCTCCATTAAGAGCCTTTTACCCTGCATTTTCCACCAAGGGGATTGTAAACATTGGCTCCCAGCCATAGTCTTCTACAAAACTTCTCTGTCCTGCCAAAATACAAGAATACATGTTTTGACGCAAACAGCTATATAAGCACATAAGTTACTTTCTGGATTCCAAAGATCATTTCTGTTACAGTAAAAGAGGTGGAAGGAGAAAAGTTTGAAATTTGAAGGAATTTGAAAATACAAATTTGTTTGTATTTATTTCATGGAAATTCATATGTAATTACCTTTTTCAACCAAAACTTTACTGACTTTGGGAAATATATAGAATGTTGTCACTTAATTGGGAGCATACAAGTTCTCTTATCTAGTACTTATTAGTAACTTCGCATTCATCTTTGACTTTCAACTTTGAAATGAAGGAAGTTTTCAGAAATCAATTGTAAGCAATCTCAGTCAGACATTAATGAACTATCGTTTATTTCAGAAGCAGCAGCTGAACTCTTAGAATTTTAGAGGCAGCAAAACAAGAATTATAAAGGTGTTTCAGAAAAACTATTTCATTGGATTAGAGTTATAAGAAACTTTGCTGCATGCTGGTTTCATGCAACATGTTAAAATCAAATAAACTATGTTATGGTTTAGTCATAGTCTTTAAGAAGGAAATCTTTACCTTCTATATGGGAGAAAAATAATTTGGCTAAAATCAAGGTTTGAGGTAGGACTGTAACTTACCTTTAATTTGAGACATTCTTGTATGAATGTGCCTTCTCTTATAAAGTATGATGTTATAAGAGCAATCTCATACATAATTTTTAACATACTGAACATACCATATTCAGGAACAATTCCAAGGAATATAAATTTTGAAATAATTGATCTTTCCTTTTTATCAAGATCTCTCTTGTTTCTCAAATGTAACTGAATTTTATTTGTTTAACCAATGTAAAAATAATTCTTTCTAATGGCATTAAGTTTATTGTTAATAGCCATACTGCATTTGATCTAATAACAGATCTAAGCTGGTGAATCCTTTGCATTAACTAAAACTAGTATGAATATGCAGCAACATATTAACATCTTCCAACAACAATTTTGAAAAATCCCTAGCATATTTTTTTGCCATTTTAAGGTGGGAGGAAAATGCTCCAAATTACCTGAAATAATCTAGAGCAGAGCATCCAGATTTCCTGAAAACTAAATAAAGTATAAAACAAAAATTGAAAATTCGAATTCTGAATGGATGTATAGCATGGTTCTTTCATTGGAAAGAGTGAATCTACCCACAGATTGTATGATTGAATCTCTCCCCAACTGTTAACTGGAATCAACTAAAAGGATGCCCCCATTATTCATTTAGAAGACATGCTAACATTGTTTGCTTA